CATGTTGCAACTAAAGATCCTGCATGTGCAACAAAGATTGAAGATTCCACCTGCTGCAACTAAGATCCAGTGCCACCAAAACTTAAAAAATTACAATTGATGAACTAAGGAGGAATACCAAAAATATAAATAATCCTACCAAAGCAAAAATGGAAAACTGAGAAATAATAACAAAAGGAAGAAAAAGAAAACAAATTAAAAAAAAAGGTAGACCCAAATCCAAATATGTCAGTAATTACCTTAAATATGAATGGTCTAAATACACCAGTTAAAAATATGGAGATTATCACAATGTATTAAAGAAATGACCCAACTATGTGCTGTCTATAATGAACTCACTTAAACTGTGACAATATAAAGTAAAAGGATGGGAAAAGATACACCTTGAAAACACTAATTAAAAGAAACCCAAGTGGATATACTAATATTAAATGAAAGAGACTCCAGAGCAAAGAAGATGACCTGGGCTAAGAGGGACATTGATGAAAGTGAAAGAGGAGGGTGAAAAAGTTGGCTTAAAGTTCAACATTCAGAAAACTAAGATCATGGCATCCAGGCCCATCTCTTCATGGCAAATAGATGGGGAAACAGCGGAAACAGTGTCAGACTATTTTTGGGGGGCTCCAAAATCACTGCAGATGGTGATTGCAGCCATGAAATTAAAAGATGCTTACTCTTTGGGAGGAAAGTTATGACCAACCTAGACAGCATATTAAAAAGCCAAGACATTACTTTGCCAACAAAGGTCCATCTAGTCAAAGCTATGTTTTTTCCAGTAGTCATGTGAGAGCTGGATTATAAAGAAACCTAAGCACCAAAGAATGGATGCTTTTGAACTGTGGTGTTGGAGAGGACTCTCGAGAGTCCCTTGGACTGCAAGGAGATCTAACCAGTCCATCCCAAAGGAGACCAGTCCTGGATGTTCATTGGAAGGACTGATGCTGAAGCTGAAACTCCAATACTTTGGCCACCTGCTGTGAAGGAGTGACTCAGTGGAGAAGACCCTGATGCTGGGAAAGAGTGAGGGTGGGAGGAGAAGGGGACGACAGAGGATGAGACGGTTGGATGGCATCACTGACTCGATGGACATGAATTTGAGCCAGCTCTGGGAGTTGGTGAAGGGCAGGGAAGACTGGCGTGCTGCAGTCCATGGGGTCGCAAAGAGTCGGACACGACTGACTGACTGACTGAACTGAAGAGGGACATTATAGAATGATGAATGAATACATTCCCTAAGAAGACATAGAAATATTAATTATGCATGCATCTACCAACATGAAGTAGAAACTGACAGACTGAAAGGAGAAGTGATAAATGCACGATGATAGTTGGAGGCTCCAAATTCACCTCTCTGTAACATACGTAACTTGTACGCAGAAATTTAGCAAGAATATGGAAGAACCGAACAGCGTCATCAGCCACGAGGACTTAAACAGCATTTCACTCCTAAAGATAACACATATCTTTTCACATGTATTGTTCACCAAGATTATCCATGTTCCTAACCACAAAACAAATCTTAATTATTCAATAAAAAGTTGAAATCATGCAAAATATATTTTTGAACTACAATAGAATTAAACAGGAAACCAATAAAAGAATGATATCAAGAAAATGTCCAAACACTTAGAAATTAACCAACATATTTCTAAATAATCCATGGAGTGAATAATATCAAGAGGTATTAGAAATAATCTGAATAAAAGTAAAATGATTATATGCCATGTCAGATGTATGGTATGTCCTTGAAACAGTGTTTTGAGAATTTATAGCATTAAAAGTGTGTATGAGAAACTAAGAAAAGTTTCATATCAAAGATCCAAGCTACTTTTTTAAGAAGTCAGAAAGAAAAACCCCAGCAAAACAGGCATAAAGAGAAGGGAATAAAAAGAAATCCATGAAATTCAAAACAGAAAAAGAAAAAGAGAAAATGAAAAAAACTGAAAGCTGCTTCTTTGAAATGATCAATAATATTGATAAACTTCTGGTTAGATTGACAAAAAGAGAAAAAAGTTCAAATTATCAATATCAACAATGAAAGAGATGATGCCACCTCACAACATTAGAGGGATAATAAGGGAAGACTGCAAATAACTCTACACTATGAATATCAGCAACTTACCAAATAAGGCCTTATTACTGAAAAAAATTACAGAAGAGACATCATCGAAATGAAAAACTTCACTCTGAAAGACAAGGTTAAGAAACTCATATATAAATTGCATATTGAGAAAACATATTTGTAAATCACATATCTTAAAATAGACTTGTCCAGAATGTATCTATCTATATCAATCATCCATCTATTTATCTATCTATCTACTCTTCAGAAAATACAGGGAAAAAAATACATAGGGAAAAAAATATATATATCTTTAAAACTAACCAGAAAAATAATCCAATTAAAATTCAGCAAAATACTTGGACAGTCATTTCCCAAAATAGGAATAGCAAACAGCACACGAAAAGATGTGCTCTATCTTGGCCATTGTGGAAAGCAAAATAAAACCATGGTGAGCTAGTGTTCCACATGTATTAACACGACTAGAATAAAAAGTCATGACCACTTCAAGTGCTTTGATGATGTGGAACAGCCAGGGTGTACACCGCTGAGTGTAATGAAAAATGAATACTACACAGCTATAGAAAGAATGGAAGAATGCCATTTGCAGCCACATGGATGGACCTGGAGATCATCATGCTGAGTGAAGTTAAGTCAGACAGTGAAAGGCAAGTATCATATGATGTCATCTATATATGGAATCTTAGAAAATGATACAAATGAAATTTATATGTAAAACAAAAGAGACCCACAGACATAGAAAGCAACCACAGATACCAATAGGGAATGTAGGGGAGGGATAAGTTAGGAATTTGGGATGAACATACACACACTATTATATATAAACCGGACCTACTATATAGCGCAGGGAACTTTACTCAGTATTTTGTAGTAGCCTATAAGGAAAAGAATTATATATATATGCACACACACATATATATTTATATATATCACTGTACACCTAAAACAAATGCAACATAGTAAATGAACTATACTTCAATTTAAAAGAAAAAGAAAAATGATACAGTCTTTCTGGAAAACAACTAGGCATTTTCTTGTAAACTTAACTGTGTATTTACCACATGAGCCAGCAACTCCACTCCTGGGCATTTATTCCAGATAAATGAAAATGTATATCCACACAAAAGCCTGTGCATAAACACAGTGACTGTATTTGTGACAGCAAATGGCAGAAGCATCTAAATATCCTTCACCAAGATGATGGATTCTCAGGCCCGGGTGCAGTCACAGCCTGATCCCTGCGAAAGAGTTAGTCACTCAGTCGTGTCTGACTCTTTATGACAATACGGACTGCAGCCCACCGGGGCAAGAATACTGGCGTGGGTTGCCATTCTCTTCTCCAGGGGATCTTCTTGACCCAGGGATCGAACCTGGGTCCCCCGCATTACAGGCAGATTCTTTACCACCTGGGTCACCAGGGAAGTCAAAGCTGATCCCTGCTCCTCAGTAAAGAGGCCGGTGTTCCATCAACGAGACACACAACTTGGGGTGAGTCTCAGAGACGTTGTACTGGGTGAAAGCAGCCAGTGTCAGGATTATTGTGGGATCCCGTTTATATTCCTCTGACATTCTCAAGCAGGCAAAGCCATGATGACGGAGGAGAGATCATACTGCTTAGGGTCAGAGTGAAGAGAAGGCACAATGATGAAGGGGTAGAGAGAGAGACTCACAAGATGTTTGATATAACTCTCCTGTATCAGGATTGCGATAATCTTGGCACAGATCTATAGACTAAAAAATGGGGCAATCTTATTGTATGGTATTGTAAAAATTAAAATTGAGGAAAAAACCCAAAAGTCCAGTAATAGCAGAAGAGCTAGGTCAGTTATGAGGATGTCACTTGCTAGAATATAAAAGGGATGATCATAAAAATTGCAGTAACAAGAAAAAGCAGGTTTGCAATAATGTTAAGTGAAATGGGTTATACTACAAAACTGTTGACTACATTTAATCTTATAAAAAAGTTGTTGTGAAAAAATAAAAGGGAATAGATAAAGTGATAAAAAATGTTTGTTTTGCAGACTATGGGTGATTTTTTCATGCTATGTTTTCTCAAATTGTTATAAGAGTATACTATGTTTATTGACACAAATAATTGAATGTTGCTGTTATTGATAGAATATCTATATATCTCGTAGAGAAATGCACGAAGAAAGGAAGTGTGCCCTATATTTAAAAATAATCATCAGCTACACGTAGACTGGCTTGAAAGTCTTCATTTTGCCTCAGATTGGACTTTTTTTCACATCAGAGAGGGAGTTAAAGATTTACCAATGAAGCACCTTCTATAGAAACTTTACTTGGGACAAAAATAAAGATATTTGTACCAGATGAGATATTGTGCCTGAATAAACAATTTTACAATGTGCACTTTTAACAACTGTGAAATTAAATGAAACTGAAGGGTTTTTTTTTTTTTAATCTAAGGATTATGTGATAAAAGCAAACCTGCTTTATTTTTATTTTTTTTCAAGTTAGGAGGTGGAAAAAGGGCCTCGTTTATTCCACTAGATGTTTATTTCTTCCATAAAAGACAAAGGTGTATGGGTAGTCTAGAGTCCGTTTTCAGTGATTCATTTATCAGTTTAGCTTCCATCATGTCTCTGAACCAGCTAAGAGTTTTCTGCTCGCAGTCTGCGTGAGACAACGCAGTTAGTTTTGGTCAAATGCAAGGGAGACTTGGGGCAGACCTGTGATTAAAACATCTTCCAAGTCGCAAAACGCAGCGGTGGACCACAGGAGTTCCTCTTTGGTTAGAAGCATAAATCTCCCGGCCGTTGTGACCAGATCGTGCGTGGAGTGGTCAGGGCGTGTGAGCGAGGACTCGCGTGTCTGCAGGGAGCAAACGCCGGGCCACTTCTGCACACCCATCAGGCCCCGAGCTGGGGGCCGAGACGCAGAAATCAAATTAACTCAGATCAGCGGAATCAAAGAAAGCCGAGGAAAGCATCTGTTTGGCCGAGAGGCTGAGTCTATCAGAAACAAACAAGAATAAACCCCCAACCACCCCCGCCGGAGCTGGAGCACCCCGGGAGCCCCAGGCCAGCGGAGGGCTCCGGGTGACCGCTGCTCGCGGCTGGCTGCTGGGCTGGGCACAGCAAGGTCTGACCCATAATTGCAGCAGACCCGCAGCAGGTTTCCAGGGGCTTCTGAGCTCCCGCGCCGGGCAGCCTCCATCTGCTGCGGCCTGCCGCGCCTCCCAGGGGGGCCCAGGCTGATTTTTCAGTCAATTAGCGGAGGCCTGCTTTTGTTCGGCCCCGCACGCCCTGGGCTCTGCGTCCCCCGGAGCTGGCCTTCGGATGGGGTGGGTTTGGAGAAGCATATTGTGTTGGTTTTTTCCATGACCTTATGACACCGTTGGGCAAACCTTATCTCAATCATCTTGGCGACTTGCTAAAAAGCCAGCCAAGCTTCCCCTTCTCTGTTGCTGTGTCTGAGTGTGTGTGTGTGTGTGTGTGTGTGTGTGTTGGGGTGGAGGATGCCATGAATGAGCTGTTTTAAATACACTACAGATTTGAGTTTTGCGTCCCTATACGTCTGGCCTCAAGTATATTTATTTATTCTTTTTTTTAAATCAGTTGCCTTAACGAGGACAAGGCAAGGGTTGAATTGATGTAGAAAGAGATTTATTAGGTGAAACAGACTTTATTCCCCTGAACCCTGCCAGGGGTGGTTTAATCTCCATCCATCTTGCGGGGATCGCTGTCGTAGGCTTAGAGAGTTCTGGACAAGAGGTATCTACGATTATAAAACCTCAGTCTGTGAACCTTCATCACTCCTGACTCAGTTTCCCTGGGCAAGGCGGGAGAGATGGCTTGGAAAGGGGTGGGTTTGCATAAGGGGCCCCCTGCGGTCCTGACAGCGGCTGGGAGGCGCTTTGGGTCTTGGTCCTCCCGCCGCCCCCTGCAGTATGATTGGGGGGCCCCGGGGAGCACCGCACTTCCCTCCTGCCTGCAGAGACCAGGAGCCCAGCAGCCCTCGTCGGGCCCACTCTCCCCACCGACCCTCTCCCCCCCAAGCTGGGAAAGCGTCCCGGCTCCTCTCGTGAGGTCGGGCCCACTCTCTCCACCGACCCTCTTCCCCAGAAGCTGGGAAAGCGTCCCGGCTCCTCTCGTGAGGTCGGGCCCACTCTCCCCACCGACCCTCTCCCCCCCAAGCTGGGAAAGCGTCCCGGCTCCTCTCGTGAGGTCGGGCCCACTCTCTCCACCGACCCTCTCCCCCCCAAGCTGGGAAAGCGTCCCGGCTCCTCTCGTGAGGTCGGGCCCACTCTCTCCACCGTCCCTCTGCCCCCCAAGCTGGGAAAGCGTCCCGGCTCCTCTTGTGAGGTCGGGCCCACTCTCTCCACCGACCCTCTTCCCCAGAAGCTGGGAAAGCGTCCCGGCTCCTCTCGTGAGGTCGGGCCCACTCTCCCCACCGACCCTCTCCCCCAGAAGCTGGGAAAGCGCCCCGGCTCCTCTCGTGAGGTCGGGCCCACTCGCCCCACTGTCCCTCTCCCCCCCAAGCTGGGAAAGCGCCCCGGCTCCTCTCTTGAGGTCGGGCCCACTCTCTCCACCGACCCTCTCCCCCCCAAGCTGGGAAAGCGTCCCGGCTCCTCTCGTGAGGTCGGGCCCACTCTCTCCACCGTCCCTCTCCTCCCCAAGCTGGGAAAGCGTCCCCGGCTCCTCACCTGAGGTCGTGACTAACCCAGCCGCCCCGCGGGTGTGAGATTGGCAGCCCTGTCACTGGGGGATCTGGCGATGACCTTGCCTCCTTCTGATGGGGCTTTCCTGGGGGCTCAGCTGGTAAAGAATCCACCTGCAATGCGGGAGACCTGGGTTCAGTCCCTGGGTGGGGAAGATCTGCTGGAGAAGGGAACGGCTACCCACTCCAGTGTCCTGGCCTGGAGAATTCCATGGACTGTATAGTCCATGTGGTAGCAAAGAGTCGGACACGACTGAGCGAACTTCACTTCACTTGAGTCCTTCTGAACTCATCACACACAGCCAGCAGCAGGCTTTTCTGTTAGGGCTCGTGACTCGGAATCACGCGTTGTTTCAGCTTTTCCTCCAAAATGAAAATGGTCTTGGCTTTCTTTTATAATTAAAAATGGTCAAAGTCCCATTACAGGGCATGGCTTTCCACTTTTCAAAGAAAACATATGTAAAGAACATCCGCTTCCTTCCAGCGCTGAGGGCACTTGACCCTCCCAGCCCCAGACAGGGCGCAGTCACTTCCCTGAGTGTCCTTTGATAAGATGTGCTGGGGTGGAGGGCCACGGGGGCCCCTCCAGAGTGCCCCCCGGCTTCCCCCTGCCCAGCCCTCTGAGGTTCCCAGGCCCCCGGGGTGAGCTTCCGAGAGGCCCAGCCTCCCCATCGTGCCCACCACCTTCTGCCGCCTCTCCCGGGGTATCCCTGCCTTATCATCTGCCCAGCCTCTCACCTCTATCCTTCTGCAGTTAACAAACACACCTTTTTCTCAGTGTCAAGCGATCAGATATTCAGCCCATCTGAGCTGGGGTCAACGGATCTCTGAAAACTTTATTGCGTGACGGCCTGTCCGGCGTAACCCCCTCAGCTGTCTCGGGTTCCGGGCAGAACTGACCTGGTGTTTCACTCTGATAGTCTAGACTTACACTTGCATCCCTGTCCCTGGCATCTGCGGCTGTGTCCACCCCTAGGCCAGCTCCCTCTCTTCCACGGCTCCTAAAAGGCTGCCAGTTGGCCCAGCCGGCTCCGACCGGAGTGTGCCCTCCTTCCGGAGCGGCGACAGAGGGGGCCCCCAGGGGCCTGACCACGGTGGTCAGCCAGGGCGCCCTTTACCACTAACGAGAGGGCCCGCCCCCCAGAGCGGGGGGCAAGCCTGCACTTAATTACACGGTCTCCGTCTCAAGTGCCTGCTCACGAGGCTTCAGCTGTGCGGGTCCTTGGAGGTCTCCCTCCGCCCTGACCCAACGTATTGATTGCTGGACAGTCGATGGGCTGCAGGGCTTGGGAGGACCTTGAAGGGGAAGACCCAGCTGGTGGCGCAGGGAGGGGTTGCCAGGGAGGGCCATGGAGGGGACCCCAGGACTGTCGCTGCCAAAAGCCATTCAGACAAACTGGGCGGTGGGCTGGGGACAGGATCCTGTCACGGCCAGCTTTTATCTAAAAAAATAATAATAATCACACACATGAACTTACCTATAGAACAAAAACAGTCCCACAGACATCAAGAGCAGAGTTGGGGTTATCCAAGAGAGAGGAGGGATGAATTAGGAGTTTAGGATTAACAGATACACACTCAGTTCAGTTCAGTTCAGTCGCTCAGTCTTGTCTAACTCTTTGCGACCCCATGGATTGCAGCACACCAGGCCTCCCTGCCCATCACCAACTCCTAGAGTTTACTCAATCTCATATCCATTGAGTCGGTGATGCCATCCAACCATCTCATCCTCTGTCGTCCCCTTCTCCTCCTGCCTTCAGTCTTTCCCAGCATCAGGGTCTTTTCCAGTGAGTCAGTTCTTCGCATCAGGTGGCCAAAGTGTTGGAGTTTCTGCTTCAACGTTGGTCCTATACACTATATACTATATGCTATATACTATATATTATATAGTGTATACTATATATCACTCCTATATGCTAGTGTATGTAAAACAGATGAACAAGGACCTACTGTAGGAGAGGGAACTACTCAATACCCTGTGATAAACCACCATGGGAAATAATCTGAAAAAGCTTGTGTGTGTGTGTGTGTGTGAATATAACTGAATGACTTTGATGTACACCTAAAACTAATGCAATATTGCAAACCAACTCTATTTCAATTAAAAACAATAATAACTGGGCGGGAGGGGAAGTGGGCAACATAGAAGCAGCCCACTCCCTTAGGAAACAAAGAGGAGATATTCAGAGAGGGAACAGAGCCCAGGCAGGTGATGGTGCCGACTCTGCAGGAAGGAGGGGCCGGCAGTGGGCCTGCCCGGCGTCTGACGCTAGCACGGGCGGCACCTGCCGTGGGGGCGGGGAGAGCCTTGCGGCTGCAGCTCAGGTACCACAGGTGAGGATAAGCGGCAGGGTCGGCTGGCCGAGGACACTGGGCTCCACCTCTCGCCCTTCGTCATGGGTCCTTCCGGCTCCTTTTTGGAGGGTCACCTCTGCGTCCCTGTCCAGGAAAGCCTGGACTCGGCTAAAAATCACTGTTGGGTGTACCGTGTCCTTCTGAGCAAAACCACCGTCGTTCTCACCAAGAGGCTGTCCCTGGACCTGAGGATCATGGGCTAGCTGTCCTAACAGACCAGGGAAGGCTGTAGCTGGCCAGGAAGCTGGCCCGGAGGGTGGTGAGCCACCCTGGGCATCCTCCTTGGTGTTAGGAGAGAGTGTCCATCTGGGTGACCGTTTGCAGCTCGAGTGCACGTTTCGGCAGGTCCTCAGGGTCAGCGGGACCTCTCCTCATGAGAAGCCGTCAAGTGTGGGTCACAGCCCTTGGAGCCGCCTTCCGCTGCCTGCGTTGCTGCAGCCGCGGCTCCGTGACGCTTGCTCTGCGGTCTCATCCTCAGCTCGTCCTGCCTGTGGCGGTTTCTGCAGGTTCTCAACGGCCCTCAGATCGGACACGCCGCTCCCATCCTCTGCTCCTATGCCCATAAACGTGCAGGTCATCCTCTGGAAAGTCAGCCTCAGGCCAGACTGGCCTCAGCGCCTGCCTTTGAATCAGGAGACGTGAAGGTGTGCTGTCTGGGGACACTGAGCTGCATGAAGGCGGTGCTGGCGTTTGCTAGAGCCTCTTGGTTCAACTGGTGGGCGGCATCACCGATTCAGTGGACATGCACTTGGACAACCTCCGAGAGATGGGGAGGGCCAGGGAGGCCGGGCGTGCTGTCATCCGTGGGGTCACAACGAGTCGGACACAACTTAGCGAGCCAGCAGCAGCAACTTGATTCCACAAAGGAAGGCAAAGGTAAAGACGTAAGCGAAAGCAGCCAAGTAACAGCGAAACGATTTTGCAGGGCAGGAGCCACTCCAAGGCCAGCACTCGGTGGTGAAGTCTGAGTGCCCCCTCTGTGACTCTCTCTGTCTTGGTGGTGGGGGCTGCATGCTTGAAACAGATTTTTCTGTTCATGGAAAGGAAACTCACGTAACATAAAATTAGCCACTTAAAAATGCACACAATCCAGTGGCATTTTGTACATTCAAGTACAAAATGTATAATCACCACCTAGTTCCAATCACATGTGGTATAATCACCATCTAGTTCCACCAAGTTCCAAAGCTTTTTTCCATCTCCCCCAAATAAAACCCCACACCCACCAAGCCGTTTCTCATTCCCCCTCCCCCAGTCCCCTGGCAAGGACGCATCCGCTTTCTGTTTTTATGGGTTTACTTACATATAAATGGGATCACACAGTATGTGTCTTGCTGTGTCTTGCTGCTTTCACTGAGCATCATGTCTTTGAGGTTTGTCTGCTTTGTGGCATGTTTCAATGCAGTATCCCTTTTTATGGCTGCATAATATTCCGCTGCATGGATATACTACATTTTGCTTATTCATCAGTTAAGAGACGTTTGGGTTGCTTCCCCATTTTGGCTGTTGTAAATATTGTTGCCACGAATGTCTGTTTACCTGATGCTGGGAAAGACTGAAGGCAGGGGAGAAGGGGATGACAGAGGATGAGATGCTTGGATGGCATCACTGACTCGATGGACATGAATTTAAGCAAGCTCTGGGAACTGGTGAAGGACAGGGAAGCCTGGCGTGCTGCAGTCCATGGGGTTGCAAAGAGTCGGGCATGACTGAGAGACTGAACTGAAATGTCTGTGTACACATATTTGACTAAAGGTTTTCAACTCTTTTGGGTGTATATCTAGCAATTGAAGTCCTAGGTCATGTGGTAATTCTATGTTTAATTTTTTGAGGAACCTGGAATAGAATATTGATCAACTCATATCTGCCAGCCCTGAATAAGGACAGACTTGCCCATTGATTCTCCTGATGCTTTGAGGTTAGTGGATGATCCCAGCCTCTGGGCTGCCCAGGTACTGAATGGGTATGGCTGCTTGCTTTATCTGGTATCAGCCGGGTTAGTGAGGGGATCTCTGGTTCACTGCAGGATGAAATTCCATCACTGTAGTCATAGGGGCCTGAGAGAATACTTGTTTGAGCAGTGGCATGTTCATCACCTCTTTATGGTGGCGCTCTACAAGCGGTGTGACAGGGTAGGGCCATGGGCGGGCTCCTTACGGCTTGTGCATCCTTAGGAGATGGTGTGGCCGCATTTGAGAACATGTAGGATATAGATCAACAGGACAAACATACAGGGATACTTACTCTTATGATACTGTTCATTCAAATTCATCTTAAATCTGAATAGTGCCACGTTTTAGACGTTTGTGCATAAAGCATGGTTGTTCACACTTTTGAAATAAAAGATTTGTAATTAATATTTTGCATTATGTTTTACTTTTTGACACAGCCTGGATGTCAGGCCAGTCTGCAAGGTCCTTTGGTATAGCTCTTCAATCTGAATTCAAGTTCGAGTTATTCACCCAACCCCACGAGTCCTGAGGTCGGGAAGGCAGGACTCCCCAGCACTGTGCACATTGACACCCCTTCGGCTTTGGGAATGCCGTCCACCTCTGCCGGGATGACACATAGCCCCACACTGTGGTCCTTCAACCACTGAAGCATTTACCACCGTCGGAAGCATTTTGCATAGTGGTTTGTTTGGGTTATTCCTCCCCACGGATGGAATACCACTGTTTATCATAAAAGTTGCAACTCTAGCCCATGTAATCTCTCGTGGTGTGCTTAAACAGGTGTCTGTAAAATGTAAGCCTTCATGCTGAAGATCAAACCCTGGCGCTCCACCAGCACGTCAAATGAGCTTCTCGCACAGACGCTGGAGCGAGCCCGCTGCTCTGGGGCTGTGCCCTGTGTGAGCAAGACCAGCGTCCTTCTGCATGAAAAGAAAGCGATGAGCTACACACGAGGTGTGAGAACACTGTCACGGGGATGATTTCTCACCAACACGCTGAGCTTCCGCTTCCACCTGCCCTCCGCCCTGCCCACACGGCCCCTCGGATGGGTCCTGCCTGGCCCAGTGTCGCTGCCGAGGCTGCTCAAGAGTTGCTTCCAGTTGTCCTTCTGGAATTGCGAGTTGCCTCATCCACAGCACGTCATCTGGGCAAGCATTGCTCCGTGGAGGGTATGCTTTTATCTTAATAAGGCATTCACTTAGTTTTGGCTGCGCGGGGTCTTCGGCGCTCTGCGAGAGCTTTCTCTAACTGTGGTGAGTGCGTCTCTGGTTGTGGTTGCCCAGGCTTCTCACTGCGGTATCTTCTCTTGTTGCGGAGCATCGGCTGTAGGCCTGTGGTTGCCAGTGGTTGAGGCACATGGGCTTAGTTGCTCCCTGACATATGGGATCTTTCCGGACCAGGGCTTGAACCCATGTCCCCTGCCCTGGCAGGTGGATTCTTAACCACTGGGCCACCAGGGCAGTCGTCCCTGGCGGGTATTTTTGATTGTGGACAAAGTTTCAGATTTAAGATGGATGAAAGGAACGATTGGGCTGTCTGATGGAAGGGGTATGCTTGTGTGCCTGTGTGTCTGCAAGGAAAAAGAACAATGTCTGGAATCATGGAGCTGGCTTTCAGAAGCTCTCCCATGGGCAGAGTCATTTCCCGTTGTCACTTGAGCATTGTCACTAGGATTTGGGTGCTCTTGATCAGTGGAAGCACCCTGATATCGCTGCATCCTCAGCCACTGAGAATGGGGACCTGGCACAAATGCGCTCTGGGTCAATGATGAGTGAGCAAATGAGTTGTGAATGAATGAAATGCATTTGAAACACAAGACACACGTGTCAGTAAGTAACACAAGATGTTGGTTCTTGAAAGCGGCCTCTGTATCTCACTGCTGATCTTAGGCAATAATCAAAGCCCAATTACTGGTAAACCCTGGTCAGCCTTAGGCCATCGTGATCAGTGATGAAGACTCATTGATGAGCAGTCAGAGTAATGACAATGAGATGAACTGGCTGCTCTACTCAAATTTTTTATTCAGTTTTATAAGAACATTAAACTAAAATATGACAGAGGATGAGATGGTTGGATAGCATCACTGACTCGATGGACATGAGTTTGAGCAAACTCTGGGAGTTGGTGATGGACAGGGAACCCTGGCGTGCTGCAGTTCATGGGGTTGCAAAGAGTTGGACACAACTAAGCAACTGACCTGAACTGAAATTAAAATATAAGGTTAAATTTATTCCTTCATTTTTAGGAAATCTATAATTTGTGTGTGTGTGTGTCTTCTGAGGATTTAAAAAAATTGAAATATTTACAGGGCTTCTTTCGTAGCTCAGAGCTAATTCAGGAGACATGGGTTCGATCTATGGGTTGGGGAGATCCCCTGGAGAAGCAAATGTCAACCCACTTCAGTATTCTGATAATCCCATGGACACAGGAGCCTGGTGGGCTATAGTCCACGGTGTTACAAAAGAGTTGGACATGGCTTGGCAACTAAACCACCACCACCATCTAAACTAAACTAAACTAAACTAAACCACCACCATCTAGCTAATTTACAATGCTGTGTTAATTTCAAGTGTACAGCAAAGTGATTCAATGATGCATATGTGTATCTTTTCCTAAGGAAACTTAAAAAAAAAAAGTCTAGTGATCCTCCATCAAGTGTGAATCAGCTCTTCTGTGGGAGCCACAGGCCATCCCCAGCACCAAGGAGCTCACAGGTCACCGCTGTGAGAGCGTGTGGGGCCTGCTTGCCCTGCCGACCTTGGGCGGGACTGCATACAGCGCAGTCATCACAGAGCAACTGAAGGTGCGCTGCCGAGAAATGTGCCATCCAGAAACAAAACATGGAAGCAACAAGATCTCCACAATGGGCGGGGTCAGTCTCAGACAGAATTGCCAGAATTATCATAGTCCTTTTGGGAAAAATTCATATATATATTTTTTTCAATTTCAATTTAATCAGATTTTACTTTATTTTTTTCATTTATTTTTATTAGTTGGAGGCTAATTACTTTACAATATTGAAGTGGTTTTTGCCATATATTTGACATTCATATTTTAAATCACGATTTTTTTGGAAACCTGCTACTATGTAAAAATGAAGGGGAGGTTCCATGAGATTAGGAAGAGAAGAAGACTGTATGAAGCTCCCTGTTTCAGCTCCTCCTTCCCGTTGGTTTTATTAGGATGATTTCAGCATTTTATGTTCACCTTAAAATGACCCTGGCTTGGGAATGATTTTGTTTCAAAGGGGAAAGGTGAGGGGGAGGTTACATTAGGAGTTTGGGATTAACATATACACACTATTAAATATACAATAGGTAACTAAGGACCTACTACATAGCACAGGAAACTCTGCTCAGCACTCCACAACGACCTGTATGGGAAAAGAATCTGAAAAAGAGCAGACACATGTGCGTGTGTGACTGAATCACTTCGCCGTACACCTGAAGCTAACGCAGCATCATAAGCCAGCTACGCGCGTGTGTGCCGAGTCGCCGCTGTCGTGTCCGGCTCTTTGAGACCCCATGGGCTGTGGCCCTCCAGGCTCCTCTGCCCATGGGATCCTCCAGGCAAGAATGCTGAAGAGGGCTGCCTCCCTCTCCTACAGGGAATCTTCCTGACTGAGATGG